GAAGAAAAATAATCCCAGCAGGTTGCGGAGGAAAAGGATCCGGGAGACGATCCGGTGGCGTACCCGGGACAGCAGCAAGATCTGGATCGCCAAAGTAAGTCGGGACCCCGGCCAGGGCTGAGCGTCCCGCGGGAGCTGCGGGAACTGCGGGAGCCCGCGGCAGCTGCGCCGGGTAGCCTGCAGAGGCGGGACAGCTACTCTCCAATGAGGTGCGCAGCGTCCAATGAGGAGCCTTGCGGAGCCTCAGCCAATCAGCGCCGAGCCGGCTCCGCGTCCAATGGGAAGCGTCCCCCGCGGCCTGACTTCCCCCAACCCTCCGGGAGGCAGTTGGAATTAACTCCCCCGGCCCTGCCGCCCGGCCGGGCTCACGGCCTCGGTTCTCTGGGCGCGGTGCCTGGGGAGCGGAGGTTTTATCTCGGATGGGGAGGAGAGGTTGGGCTCCGAGGCGGAGCGCGAAGGCAGCAGCCCACCCTTGGGATGTTTGGGGCTGCTCGCCTTGCCTTCCCTCCCGGGCCTTCGCCGGGTGGCGTTGCCCAACTGTCGGTCGCGCCTCCAGGCGTTCCGCCGCCAGGACAGCCTGGGGCTGAGGCCGCGCCGCGGGGCACTGGAGACGCACCTGCTGGACCCGGCCACTAGGTTCTAGCTCCGGGGTGGCTGCCTGCGGGCGAGGAGAGAGGGGGCCTGATGGAGGGCGAGGGCGCTCAGTCTCATTACTATGCTCTTTGGATCCGCAGCAACCTGGAGAAGGCCGGGCATGCCAAGAGATTTCTATCTCTGGGCTTAGGTTACACAGGGCCAGCAAGCGGTGGGAGAGATCCTGAGATTTTGGCCTCTTGCTCCCATGTCTGACAGTAGTCAGAGAAATTCTGAGAAAAGAGATTAGGAAGCTAGCTGGGAAGAGATGGGGGGCAGGGCTAGCTGGGAAAAGGCAGGACAGGAGCTGTCCTGGAGGCTGGAGCAGCAAGTAGAGGGCACACCAGAGTGAGAGGCCGGCACCATGTGAGACTGAGAGCCTTCTAAGCTCCAGTTTGGTTCTTCCCGCTTACTAGCTGGATGACCTTGGGCAAGTTATTTGTAAAATGGGAATGCTAATTATCTATCGCACATACCTGAGTGGGACTGTTGGACTTCCCCCAGGTGTTCAATGTACAGGTTTCCTGAAAAGTCAAGAGCTGCTGCTCCCATGGCCAGATTAGAATATCCTCGCCACCTTGTTTTGGTGATCTCCAAGTCATTCCTTGCCTTGAACTTCATCTCTCCTGACCCTTGAAGCTTTTCAAATTCTCCACGTTCAAGCCACTTTCCAATCCTGCTTTGCTCCTCGAGCATTTATCCACGTTTCTCATTTTGCAATTGTTTACTCTCTGACTCCTTCACTACATTGAAAGTTCTTGGATATCTCGCTGACTTGGTCTGAAGGGTTCCCATCTCACCAGTATACTGATAAGTCACTGAGCTTTAGGATCAAACAGGAGGGGTGGAAGGTAGGGTAGATAATGGAGCTTCTCCTGGGCTCTGGAAAGGTCCCACCGCAAATTTCCAAGGAGTGCTCCCCACATGCTTCCACCTGCTGGAAGGGATGGGAGATCCTCATTGTTTTAATCCTTGAGTTTACACCAGTGGTTCTCCCGGTGGGGCTCAGGGCTGCCTGTCACTGTATCCAGTTCAACAGAGGCAGCGTTGAATCCTGTAAGGCGTTTATTGAGAAGGCCGGCCAACAAAGAAGACAGGAGCAGAAGGGCATCCAAAACCTGTCTTAGGAGTGGCCTGAGGGGTCGGGTTATATAGGGCAAACGGGCTGGGAATGGAATGCAACGAAGTGCAGTATGGAAGTCATTCTTTTGATCGTGGTTGATTGGCAATCAAGATAAGGTGATACAGTAACCCATTGTTCACAGCTGAGCCACCTCCTTAATTGCTTCTGTCCGGGTTCAACAGGAGTGCAGGGTGCAAAGGTCTAGGAGAAAGAATCTTAGGAAAAAACCACTTAAATCCCTGCTTACATAAGTATAAGTGTTCTACAATTTTATAAGTAATATAATTATATTTCAGATTTATTCAGGTGCCCAATCTTTGGAAATTATAAGTGCCCCTATCATTTCCCCCTCTGATTAGGGGGATTTATATGAAATTTTAGTCTTAAATCTATCATATTGCTGTAGTGCTAAAATCTTTGCTTCTGCAGTATGGCGATTACCTCTGATGGTGCCTGAGTAATAATCAATGGCAGCTTGATTTTCTAGGAAGGCTTCTCTTACCTGCCCTAGTTCCTGACCCATAGCCGCTGTAACTTGGGAGGCAGAATTCAGAGCTTTTACCAAAGCATGAGCCAAATAAGTTACTTCAGCATTCAATAAACCTACCACCACTGGAGTGACAAATATAGCCATAGAGATATGTTCAGCCTGGCTAAACAGATGTATTTCACCATCGCAGTTCTCATCTAGTGTGAGCTCATGGTGTACTCGCTGAGGATGAGGCTTCTGTGGCAACATTACAATATTACAGTCAAGTGTCCAATTGTGCAAGGGCCTCCAGCACTATTCATAACTACATAAGATATGCTGTTAAACCTCAGAGCAGGAACCAACCAGGGGGATGGTGAACATGCCCATTTCCATAAGATATAGAGGAATTTTCTTTTGAACCGTTCAATTGCTGCTGATTTTTCAAAGACAGTTTGCTAGGCATCTTGTAAAGTCTATACAGTCTTCTATGGAACTGCCCCCCTGCTACTTTAATAGCAAACAAAGTACGATCCCTTTCAACAACAGGGCAATTGATAGCATCTGGTTCCAATGCAGATGAGTCTCCTGACAGTTTTGGCTCTCAACCTTTCCTGAGCCAGATGTTATCTCTATAGAAGAAAGGCCTGGGTGTCCAAACCGCAAGACCAGTGATGTGCTAAGACAGGCCCTCTAGGTGGGGAGGCCCCACTCTACCCTACAGTTGTTCCTTGCTAGGCACCTGGGGCTTTCCATCCTGGTGACCTTCTGTACCTGACCCCTTGCCCTTGCTCTGCTCATGTCTGTCTGACTGCCTACTACATCCCCCTCAAGGGTCTTGGCCCTGAATTATTTCAGAGAAGGGGGGCGCAGAGTCTCTTCTTATAGCTAGTTCCTGCTGAGAGGGGGTGACATTTTCCTTCAGAGCCAAGAGATCCTTGCTCTCTGTCAGAGGGACAATGAAGCCTGGGCACAGAAGGAAGTGGTGGTGGTATCTAGAGGTGGTTTTCCCTGAGTACGGGTAGGGCTTGTAAGCTGGTGGAGACAAACTGTTATAAATTTTAGTATTATTGGAGCAAAGTTAGAAAAAGAATTATGACAAATGGTCTGGTGGAACGAAAAATAAAACACAAAACATTTCAGTTCTAATATTTCCCTATTGAAACAATTTCCCCCCCTAAAATCACCCTCATTTTATTAAAGAGCTGAATTAAGACCAGTCTCTTTACTGTATTATTCAGTTTTAATTTGGCCTGATTGTTTGTATGAACTCAATAAGAATAACACTTGACCATATAGGCTTTTAAAAATCCACTTTGCCGGAATCTCATGATTGAGCTTTAATTAGCCCCTCGGGGCAAAGAAGTCAGCTACCTAGTTGCCATTAGGTTTTGCCTGCAAGACCTATTGACTTGGGTGAATTCCTCAAGTTCCTGAGGTCCCCGAAATGTATTGAGGTTCTTTCCTTGCCATCTCCCAGGAAAGCAACCTTCATCCCTTACCTGGAAAGACTGCCATGAATTATTTGACCAAGCAAAGTACCAGGCTTTCTTCAAGGTGCTCTTATTGGCTTCAGAGTCAGTCTTCGTTTTCTTGAGGCTTTCTGGTGACATCCAGAGTCCATGCACATCTCTTTCAGACATGACATTCCAGTCTAAGTCTTGGTTAATAAAACCACAATTGAAAATTGGTCTTACTGAATTCATGCAAAGAAATGTATTGCTACAATTCACTCTTTAAGAATTGTCAAATTCTGGAGGGATCAGGTAGGGAGAAAAATATAATTTACCTAATTAAGAAAAGAAACAAGTTTCCTTATGTCTGAAAAACAGAAATATTAGAAATCAGAAATACTTTTAACAAAGGTTACAAAAGTTATAATTATTTTCATTTCATTCAGTCCCATAATCAATCTTTGTTTCTCCTGATTTTTCTTTTTTTAAATATATCTTTATTGATTTCAGAGAGAGGAAAGGAGAGGGAGAGAAACATCAATGATGAGAGTCATTGATCGGCTGCCTCCTGCACGCCCCCAACTGGGGATCGAGCCCGAAACCCGGGCATGTGCCCTGACCGGGAATCGAACCCTGATCGCCTGGATCCTAGGTCGATGCTCAACCCCTGAGCCATGCCCAACCGGGCTCTCCTGATTTTTCTTGCCAGAACTTCTAAAAATCCAGATACTCTATAGAGTTCTAATAATTCTCATCCAGTTCAAAGGGGATGATCTGAAAATTTATTCTCAGATATGTAATTTAAAATAAGTTAGAGTCCTTTCCATGGATCCCTCAGAAGACCAGACATTTCTGCAAATGCATTACAACAAAACAGTGACTGTCTCTATATAACAAGAATTTTAAAATGACACAGTTATGGATTTGATTATAATGCAATTGACATGGAATCCTGTCCTTTCTGCAAAACACAATATTCCAGAATAACAATTAGAGTTATAAATGAAAGTGTGTTAGAATTTATAGACTCCTGGAGATTTTTACATCTATTTTAATAACATGTATATATAAATAGAATATAGTTATTTCTTTACTTGACAAAACTTCCTATGTACTTTAAGTATAAGCTTTTCCTTCATAAGGAGAGGAAACAAAATCCAGGGCCTACTGGTGTGACCTAAAGCCAATTCTGGGTCAAGAAAAAGTTTCTTAAAATTCAAACCCTGGGAAGGTTGTCAAACTTACTTAACCAAAAGATTATATATCATTATTATTACAAAACAGTATCAGAGTATTTATTTATTCAAAGTGACAAGAGATATTAAATACAAACATAGGCTAATAAAACTTCACTTCCCATGATGAAGATGACTTTTTTTAAGTAACCAATTACCTGATTAATATAACATAATATATAATCATTTTAATAACTTATAAAACTTTTGCATCCTAGGCAAATACAGGAAATACTTTTTCCCTTTTAACAGGCTGGAAAGGAC